AATATTCACCACTTTAACCGAGACTGACGCGAATAATTGTTTTGGTGTGTACGAAACAGAAACCAAGTCAGAGAATACCTATGGCCAACTCGTGCATAAAATACCTAATCTAGAGGTGAAACGTTTTTGTGAACTTGTAATCACTGGACTTTCAGCAATGCAAAGATTGCTTTTCTATCAAGAAAATCACGGAGAGATCCACTATTATAGTAACCATCAAGCTCCGCAGAATAATAAACGTATATAAAATCTACAAAAACAGCACAAAATAGTATCTTACGTTTACCGAATTTCCGTTTAAATAATTCGTCAAATCTTTCTTCGCCCGCTTAAGCCAAATTCTACTATTTTCCATTTTTATGTCACGTTTCGCCTCACAGTTGCTCAATAAATATTTGCATTTTGACGCAGTGATCTTTATTTACAGGGTTTCCTCTCTCTTGCATCTGATAACAAACCTCTGAGTTTTCTGCATCGGATCGAAAATAATTCAGAACGTATTTTATGTGACCCCAATTTTTTTTTTTATGACCGATTGAAATTAAAGATACACGGCAATGAATCCCACGAGTTTTCTTTTGTCAGAAATACACAAGATTGGTGTTTTCATTTTCCTTTAATATTGTACAAAAACAACTGCTCATCGATGGTTTTAAGAGTGAAAGAAATGGCCTCTTCTTTACTCGAATGCAGATAATTTCGTACGCCAAGAGCTTTTAGTCTAATGTTATTGAAAAAGTCATCTCGCCCAAAGCTTGAAGTACGTTTTTTAACAGCACCCAAAGTTGGCCAAAAGCCTGATAACCGTTTCCCTCAGTTGAGGGCGAGGTGGGCATGCAGACGCAAGGGTCACTCAACATTCGAGAAGGTAGACTTAAAGTTCAGCAATTGTGGAATCGCGGATGTGAAAAGTTGAAAAGGTGGCAGGAATATTTTAATACTGGCCCCACCGAGCGCTTAGGGAGAGGTTGAAAAATGCTCTATTTTATTTAAAAGGGAGTACATCTTGGGCAACCTGAAGACTGCCCAGATCACGTGTATCAAATAATGAAGAATTGCTGGCACAAAGAGGCTTCACAGAGACCAAACTTTACCCTGATGATAGCTCAGCTTAAACAGGAAGTGAATACACATTACGACTCCCTCGACTCGCCGTGTGTTAGTGACAAGCAACCGCTGTATCAGAACATTGGCGTCTCTTCAGAAGAGATAAATGGTAGAGTAAAGATTTATTAGCTAAACCTTGGATGCTTAACTCTCCTTTCTAGTCACTATTCATCTCTTCGTTAAAAAGTTTTGAAAATTTGGTGTTATATTTTTAGTCGCGCGAGTGGTGTGACGAACTTCGCAAAAAGGCGTGGACTGCTCGTACTGTGTTCACACAGCATTCATCTGGTGAAATAATTTGAATTTTTTTTATTGGGGCAGTTGACATAATTAATAAGTGAATTTTTCTCGGCTTTCTTAGAAGAGCACCCCGTTGCCGAACGAGCAGCCAGCAAAATTTCCCAGCCAGCTCCAAGCGCTCCACAGAGTAGTGTTCCCCCACCCTCCGCTTACATCAACGTCGCCTGCAATCCTGGTTTCCATAGTGATGACGAAGACGGAGTTTTTGAAGAAGGCATTTTGTAGGAACATTAAGAATAGAGACCGAGGCTGTTAAAGATCAGATTTTAAATCTTTATGGTTGTGTGTTTTTGAAGATACTGCCTATCATTTTAGGTATTGGTTTGCCAGGTACTGTTATTAAGGCCTAGACTAAAAAAAAGATAGAGAAAAATTAATTCAATATCGAGAGAAATTGCTTTGATTAACTAGCGAGAGTGTTCTCTCCTCCTTTTCAGCCAATCAGATTTAAAAATTTAAGTCTTGGACGCATGCATTTTCCCGCGCTTAAGACGCATGAATGCACGTGGAATTTTCATTGATGATACGATTTTTTTTTGGTTTTAATTTAAATACTTAATAAGAAAAACGTGTTCATTTTCCATTGTATAACCACTGCTAGAATTTTGTTAGGATAAAAAATCACCTAAATCGTTGGCTTCTATAGCTGCAACAGATTTTAAACCAACAATAAGTTTGTGCACTTTATTACAATTATTTTGGTCGCTCAGTTGGTATCGCAGATCAATCTGAAAAAGAAAAACCGGGAAAATTAGGTGAAAATTTTGGTTTCCATGTTATCCACTGACCCGCTTTGATTTCCCAACTAATGTTCAGACTTTTTATACGATTTATAATCATTTGGATAGAGATGAGGTAGTAAGATCACCCACCCCGTCGGATCCAAGGGATTCCGGAATCGAATGGAAACCTGGCTAACCATAAACTTAAGCTCGAGTTTTTCATTCAGTGACGAGAAAGTTTTCAACAGTTTTCTTCATTGCTGGGGATTTAGTTAAAAGCTCCATGATTGATGGTACAGTAATTAAAAGTAGATGGTCGAAGTTAATGCGAAATGACTGCGTTTCCCACTAATAGTGGAAGATGGGTGTGGATTTCAGTGCTTCTCTTTAATCGAAAAATAAAATACAAAAATAGGTTTTTATATGACTAGAGCAGCTTGAGAATTACTAAGTACCATATGGTAAACAATGTTTAGATATATATTTCTCTAAATTCAATTAGACTGCAAAATTGAATTTGCAGTAATAATATGGACTCATCAGAGTGAAGAAAATGTTTATGGCGCATTTTGTATAAATTTTATGCTTCTTTTGCCCCAGCCCCACCCCCCTCTTTTGTTTTAACCGTCGCTCACCCCCCCCCCCCCGTACGAATTTCTTTCTTTCCTCAGCCTCCCGCCGTAAAATTAGAAAAACAAGAAAATACTGTGCTCGCCCTCGCCAAAAATTAGGCTACAAAGAGCCGTAAAACGTCATCAATTTTATGCATCGTTGCGATATTAATTTAGAGATGGAAAGTGGAATGTTTGGGGTAATTTAACAGATAATCTCTGTCAACGAGATGATGACACAAACAGTTGTCTTTAATCCCGATAAGAGTAAGCCTTTTACTATGCTGGTAAATGTCTCAAATTTCGCCAACGCGGCTCGCAAAGGATCAATGAAGCGCCTGCAAAGGATCTAGGAAAAATTCGCATACGATACGCTCCCTAAGATTGTTTATTGCCCTTTGAACGTAATTTACACCTTCCTCAGACAAAGCAGCCAAATTAGCTAAATCGACTTGAATCGGATGTGTTGAATTGAATTAGTTTTCTTCATTGAATTTTGCCTCCATTTCATCGTAAGTTGCCTGAAATATAACAAGTTAATGAGTGATATGGCTAAAACGCGAAAAAAAATGCATTAAAACTCAGTTCATACAGAAAGATCGTGTTGTTTTCAATCAGAACAAATAGGAGAGGGCAGATCCGGTAAGAATTACAATTAATTCCTGAGAAACGGCTGCTAACCCCACTTAAGAAGCCGCCACCCACTACCCCAAGGAACTGCGCGCTTATTAGGAATTCAGCTGTATTTTAATGAGACTGCAGTGTCCGTGCTTACTCTCACGCAGAAATTTTAGAGCAAGTGAATTCTTTGCTGATCTAACTTTGCTGATTCCGAACCATGATCGCTGAAATCATTGGCCTTTTAATTCTTCTTGTGGCTGTTTATATCGCGTCCACAATTTGGCAACTCCGATGTTTTCCACCTGGTCCTTTCCCGCTACCTCTGGTTGGGAATCTTCTTTCGATCGAACAAAACAGACCTTATGCAGCTTTAGCAAACATGGCGAAAAAGTATGGAAAATTGGTCCGAATCCACATGGGGAGAAGAAAAGTTATTGTGATCAATAGTTACGAAATTGCAAGAGAAGCGCTTGTCACAAAAGCAGAGGATTTTGCCGGACGACCTCGACATTTCTTCGGTAACATTTTTGGTCGAGATTGTACAGATATTGTGTTCCAAACTTTTAACAAGACATGGAAGAAGCAGCATAAACTTGCTTTATCAGCTCTGCGACTAGCCGAGGCAAAAGCCAACATGACTGATCATGCAGAAAGGTTATGCATCAGATTTCAGTCCTTTGATGGAAAGCCATTTTATCCTCACGATTTAGTTTTAAATTCTTTAGCCAATTGCCTCTCGTCTCTAATTTTTGGCGAAGAACACAAACTTGATGATTGTGAAATAAAAAAGCTTGTGAACGCCACTCATGTTTTTCGTAATTCTCTGGGTGCTGCTAATTTGCTCGACACTTTCCCAGTGTTGAAGTATATTCCATTTAACATCATCAAGAAAGCAAAGCGCGCTGGTGAAATCCGCGATGAAATTTTTGAAAGGAAATTTGGGGAACATGTTTCGACCTATCAAGAGGATAATATCCGTGATTTGATGGATGCCATGCTGAAGGGCTTCCACGAAATGGCCGACGATGGTTTGGTTACAAAGAAGCATGTGATTTCAAGGTAGGATGCATTGTTCTCAACTTCTGTTCAGGTGTTTCTGAGAGGATCGTACTAATAGAGTTTTCAATGTAAGGGTGGTAGGCTATTTAGCAATACGGCAAAAAAAAAATATATCATTACATAATATAAAGAATTTAGTTAATTCTCTTCTGGTCACGTTTTGCTTTGTTCTTAGTTATCGTTTAGGCGTTTAGAGAATCTAATCACAATAGGATAATATGCTCACGAATGCGCAATTGTCTTTTGTTACAAAGAAAACAAGTGATTTACATAGTAGGAAATTTAGTGTTAACAACTGGGTTGAAAACGTAAATTAGCCACCGTAAAGGGTAAAAAAAGCTGACGTTTCGAGCGTTAGCCCTTCGTCATCGCTCTGACGAAGGGCTAACGCTCGAAACGTCAGCTTTTTTTACCCTTTACGGTGGCTAATTTACGTTTTCAACCCAGTTGTTAACACTAAATTTCCTGCTATACTCTCCCACCGACGCAGCACCACAGTTTCTTTAGAAACTTACCCCTTTAATGATTTACATAGTGCTGAGAACTTTGTTGAGTGAAAGTATGAAAGACAGAGAAAGAA